CGGGAGCGGGGGGGTCCGGGGGGTGGGGGGAGCATCCTCCCTCTCACCTCTCTCCCCGTCCCCAGCCTGCACGTGGAAGGGGCAGGATTGCACCCTCTCCATCCACATCGACAAGGGCTTCACCATCTCCACCACCGAGCCCGGGCTCAGCAAGACCATCCTGCTCCAGCAGCCCTTCGAGAAGCTGCAGATGTCCTCCGACGATGGCACCAAGATGCTCTATCTGGATTTCGGTGGCCCGGAGGGAGAGATTGTGAGTTGGCTTTACCCTCAACCGACCCCCACCCACGCTCCCAGCGGCCCCGGTGGGAGAAGGGGAGCAGAGCACCCACCCCGCGCGTGGCACCCATCCTGCCTGGCACGTGGGTGTGAGGCACGGTTCATCCACCCACCGCTGGCCGCACGCAGCCCCCGGCCATGCTCAACCCTTCCCAGGGCCCCAGTAAGGCTCTGGTGGGGTTTGGGGTCTGGGTGGTCACTGCCCTTCCGACCGCAAGCAGAAAGCTGACTGCTGCGGGCACAGCCCTCCCCGTTGCAAACATCCCTCCGCTCCTTTTTTACAGCAATTGGACCTTCACTCCTGCCCCAAAACCATCGTCTTCATCATCCACTCCTTCCTCTCGGCCAAGGTGACCCGGCTGGGGCTGCTGGCGTGAAGAAGGAGCGGAGCGCGGGGCAGAGCAGCCCCAGCCCCCGGCCGATCTATGCACCTCCCTCCAGGCCAACCCCAGCCCCACGCCATCCCGAGGAGACCGGGGCCCCCACGGGGTCACGCCACCCCCGCCAAGGAAAAGCACCCTCCGCTGGGAAAAACAACTCCTGGGGCGTTCGGGGGCAGCGGTGGGGTGAAATCCCTTCTTGGATGGCATCACCGGGACTTCTGCAGTCCCTTCTTCCCCTCCTTCCTCCCGCTCCGATGCTTGGCGGTGGCGGGAGAAGCCCGGTTGGAGCCCGGGCTGCGAGCGGCCGCACGGTCGTCACCCCAGTGCCTTGTGAGATGATATTTTCTGTACGAAGAACCCGTTTGTATCGATGTTTTATATTTATATCGCCCAGTTAAAAATGCTGACGCGGCAGCCCCCCCCCCGAGAGTCCCCAGGTCCCACAACTCAAGGACGTGTGTCTGTCCCCAAGACAGACGACCCGAGTGCTGGAGACCGAAGCCAGCTCCGTAAGTGTTTGAGAGACGGGAACTGCAGATCAGCTTTATTTGCCAAAATTTTTCCATATTGTACCGAATGATAGGAACCACTTTTCTTTGTCGGAGTTGGACAGTCTGTTTTGTTTTGCGAACTCCGGGGTCACTTTCTGTCTCGGTTTAGGGGGGAAGGTTGTTAGGTGGCTGTTGGGAAACAACTTCTTTAATGAACCAAAAGATTCTGCATGAAAATGCCTTTTTTGGGGGGGGGGGAGGGGTGTCAAATAAACATTGCAGATGACAACCAGTAGGAGCCAAGGTCTGTCTCCTGGTTTCGCTGGGAGAAGTAGAAAAGCTCTTCAGGGGTGATACCTGGGCTGTGCCTCGGGGTGTTTCCTGCGGGGGGAAGGAAGGGTTTTGCTGTGGGATGTTGCTGTGAGCCGGCGGTGTTGCTCTGGGAGTGCTGGGGACCCTGGAGGGGGAGTGGGGGGGTGTCAGATGGGGACAAAAAGTCTTCTAAGGCACCTGTCACTGCGCTGGGCGCAGCAGAGAGGGACACGCTGATGCCCACACCAGCTTTCCCAATTCCAGGTGGGTTTGAATACCCCACGCTTCGTGCTGCGGGGTGCTCAGCGGAGGGCAGGCATCGTTTCCAAGCGCAGAGGAGTCGGGTGTTTTTTTTTTTCTTTTTTCTTTTTCTTCCCTGTTTCTCCAGTAAAAAGAGCCACCAGGCTTGGAACGTTGTTCCCTTCATGTGCCACCCTTGCTGGTGAAGTCGGGCACGAAGCCGGGTATGGTTATGGTGTCTGTGGGCTCCCGGCGAGCCGGTATTTACCGAGCGCTTCCCCGTGGTGCAGCCTGTCCTCGCAGCTTCCCAGCACCGAGGCTGCGTGCGGACACTGGTCCTCGAGGCATCTCTGGCGAGGGCCATCAGCCACCCAGCGGTCCCCCGTCTCCGCGGGGACGGTGCCACGCTGGTGCTGGGAGCCACTGGTGTGGTTTAATGAGAAGTTTTATTCACCGGTGTGTTTCTACCGGGCTGTGGGATGTGCCAAGCTCAGCGCCCCGTGGCAGCGGCAGAGCTCTCGGCACAGTGTCCGCACCCGCGCGGGGACACCGGGATGGGAAAGGGCCACATTCGCATCACTCTGCAGTGCCAAATTCAGGGTTAGCCTTCTCCTTTTGTCCTGGCCCTGTAGGTGGGGGAGCCCAGAGTCTCCCAGGGAATTCCCTGGGGAGAAGGCTAACGCTCAGGCTGCGGGCTGAATAATAGCAGCTGATGAGCAGGGAAATAATAATCATTTTTAATGGTAAGTCACGCGTCCTGTTGCGCTGTACGGAGCCGTCCCCGGTGCGGGGCTGATCAGAGCGGTGGGGTGCGTCGGTGTTCCCTTCGGAGCCTTGTCCGAGAGAGGGAATCCCACTCTCCCCGAATCGGTGGTGGGTGAAGCGCTGCTCCTGGGGCGCTTGTTAAGCGGAGGTGGCACTTGTAGGCGCCACTGGGAAATTAATGATTGGCCTAACGAAGATGAGCCGGTCCCTGGCAGACGAGGGTGGGTGCAGTTATTGGGGCTCAGGGGGAGGGGGGGCTCCCCTGTGAAGGTGTGCGTCCTGGGGGAGGCGTTTGCGGGGAGGATGTGGTCTGCCATGTGCAGAACTGCTCCCAGGCCGGGGGAGCGTGATGCTGCTGCAGCGGTTGGGGTGCGGGGGGAGAAGGATGCCATAAACTGCAAAAAAAAAGTGGAAGGAAAGCAGTAAAAACGCAAAGCAACAAGGGCAGTGGGGTGCACGTAGGGGGGAAAGCACAGGAACAGCTTATTTGGCATAAAGAAATCGTTCTTATGGGGTACATAAGCACTCGTCTGCTCTGCTCTTTGCGGGACAGGGTGCTGGAGAGGAGGGGGCTCGGGGAGGTCCAGCCCGTTCCGCCCCGCGCAGAGCCCCGTGGCTGGCAGCGGTAATCTCTGATGATGAACAAGCCCCTACTTTTTATTGCACATAACTGTCAGATTTCCGGGAGACCTTGCAAAATGGGTTTGCAAAAGAAAAAAAAACAACCAAACAACAAAGCCCAAGGAAAAAAAAAAAACGCCCACCCCACGTTACTAACTGTTAAATCAATACAACAAGTAATTTAGAAACAGATGGTGTATTTTTCTATGATCAAAAGCATGTCTGCACAAAGAAACACATTATTACTGCAATTTACCTTCCTCTTCCTGCCCTACAGCCATTACTCTTTGGGGTTCATTCCAATAAAAGAGGGAATCACTCCCAATCCAGAGCAGATTTCCTATTAATCTTATAGACCGCAAACTGCCTTGACTTTACCAGTGCCGCTCCGGCAGCCCATCCCTCTCTGTGCCGGGGCTACGAAAGAAACGGCTCAATTCAGAGATGGACATTTCTTTTCTTTAAATTCTTTGCGTTTGATATTGGTGATGGGGTGGGGATCCCCCCCGCCCATGTGTTTTATGGTGGTTTCTTGGCCACTTCACCCTTCTGGCACTGTCCTCTGCTTAATGGGACCTTTTCCCCGATGATGCTCTTGCCAAGCGGCCTGTGGATAACACAACTGCCTCTTATTTCTCTGAGCGATGTAGCACCTTGTGACGTAAACCACCCAGAAACAGGATAGAAACTGCCTCCCCAAGAGGAGCCCGTGGCAGCTGGAGATCTCTCCGTAAGTCCAGCAGCACCTTTGATTCCCGGGAAGATGCCCGGAGAGGTGGCATGAGCATCCCGGGGACAGTGGTTATTTTCCAGGCTGGTTCTGAAGGATCAAGGCTAGCACTCATCAGAAACGCCAAAGTCTTGGGGGGAAAAACATTGCAATTATTTCCTAAAACTCCCACTTTTCCTAAAATTCCCAATTCTCATTGAATCCTTCAGGCATCCAGAATCAGCACTGAATTTCTCTGCCCGGGGAAGGTTTTGGGGTTGGCAGCAGGGACCGGATCCCGGTGCAGGACGGCATCTGTATGGAGCGACGAGCGCTCCTGCTTGGGACCCCACCATGCTGTTCCCTGGGGAGGAATAACAGCTCATCGGGGTTTTATTCTTTCAGGCACTTTTATGGCAGGACTAATATTTTGGAAAACGGCTTTAAAATAAATATGATGAACTCAGCTTATAGAACCGGCACGATGGTAATGGGCGCAGGTAAAAAGCAGATTTCCTCAGCTGAATCACTTCGGGGGAACTGTAGTTTTATTTGGCCACCGTGACTGACAGAGCTCAGGGAAAGGGGATTGTAAAGGTGCTGCGAGTATGAGGGAAATGGATGGTAAATGGGAAAGGGAAGAAAAAAAATAAAAAAAGCCTGATTTTGCTGTGTCTGTGGAGCTCCTGGGGTGCTGTGTGCCGGGGTGGGGGGGATGGAAATGGGGGCGCAGAGCCGTTGGCAGCCAAACCGCTTCGATGCCGGCCCGAGCCACGCGCGGAGAGAAGGGAGTGTTGGCAGTGGGGGTGGCGGCAGCCCGGCTCTCCTGCCATCCCCTGCCCTTTGGGAGCAAATCCGCCCGGGACACGGCGAGGTGAGCTCTCCCTTTCCTCCGCGGGGAACCCCGGCGCCGTCAGCATCCCCGGCAGCGACGTCACAAGCGGGAAGTTTCCCCAGAAATGGCTTTTCTGGATCACGAGACCTGGAAAACAGCCCCGAATGGAGGGGCTGGAGAGGGAAGAGAGAGAGATGCTGCGGGAAGAGTGATTAGGTTGTCCCCAGGTGTTTGCTCACCCATGGCAGAACACTGTTGCCCTCCCGATACCGCTTGTACTTTCCATTAGTCGGCTCTGACCTTTTAGTGCCGTAATCAAACAAGACAACCTAACACTTAAATCTGAGCATTTAGCGCTGACATTTACAATTGGTTCTCGAGTTAGAGAGACCGAATGAAAATTTCCTAGCAGACAGCGTGCTGCGGGGAACGGGAATCAAATAATTCATTTGCCGAATAACGGACGTGCCGCCCTCCTTCAGCTGTCTGCCCGGGCCCGCATCGCGTCCGGTGGTATTTGTACTGGAGCGCTTGTCATTAAAAAGTCAATATTCATCTGGAGTTAGTGTGGCACGCCGGTGCCAGCGATCCCGCAGACGTCTTCTCTTCGGGGCGGAGGGAAACTGTATTTGGCATTTGATTAATGTAAACAGGAGTGAGCTTACCCAGGCGGGAGCCCTGTGGGAGCGGGGAAGCTACGTTAAATGTTAAGGATCCGAGGCAGTAATGAGGATGTTTTCTCTCATTCAGCCTCGGCTGTATCCTTGCCCGAAAAATGAGCATTCGGTGCATCCCTTGCTGTGGGTTGGCAGCCCCACGCCTGCCCCGCGGTGGCTGCTTGGCTGTGCTGTCCCCGTGCAGGTCCCTGGGCAGGGATGGGCTCGTCCAGCCCCATCCCCAGGGAAACTGGGCCCTGAGGGTTTAGCAGGGTTTGCCTGGTGAGGATATAGGGCCGGTGGGATGTCGGGGTGTGCTGAGAGCCACAACACCCCTGGGAGCCCCCAGGTCCTGCACCCATCCC